TAAGAAGTATAAACGTTAGAAAAAAACCTTTCACGGATACATATAAATAGAAAAGTCCAAAAGCATTGACAAATAAGTTTAGTGAAGTTGTTGGGTACAAAGTCAAAAAAGCAAACAGTGAATTTTTAAATACCAGCAACAATCCATTACAAAGTGAAATTTTAAGAAGATACCATTTATAATACCATCACAAAAGATCAGATACCTGGAATGAATCTAACTTATGATATGCAAGAGCTCTACATGGAAAACTATGAAACACTAAAGATCTATGAAAGTAAAGATATAAACCAATGGAGCGATCCCAATGTTCATGTGTCAGAAGACTCAATAAATGCTCCCAAAATTCCAATGAAAATCTTAACCTGTTTGTCAAAATTAACACAATTTTATAACACAAATGCAAAGTGCCTAAAACACCCAAGAGATATCAAAGAACAATTCTAGTGGATATCAAAATGTATATAGCTATAATAATTACTTTTGGGGAAAGAAGGATAGTGACATAGATGGACTCATAGGGATAGGGTTTCTGAGCTACTGGCAACATTCCATTTCTTTTTTCTTCTTTTATATATTGTGTCTTTATCTTTTATTTATTTATTTAAGTGTAGTTGGTATACAATCTTATATTGGTTATATTAGTTTCAGGTGTACACTATGGTGAGTCAACATTTCTATACCTTACAATATGATCACCCCACTAATTCTAGTAATCATCTGTCACCATGTAAACTTAGCACAATATTATTGAGTTTCATTCCCCTTTTCTACCCCCTCCCTTCTGGCAACCATCCCTTTGGTCTGTTTCTGAGTCTGTTTCTGTTTTGTTTTATTTTTAGATTCTGAATGTGAGTGAAACCATACAATATGTCTTTCTCTGACTTATTTCACTTAGCGTAATACCCTCTAGATCAGTGGTTCTCAACCTTGGCTGCACATTAGAATCACCTGGGAATCTTTTTAAAATCCTGATTTCTGGGCCTCATCCTCTGGAAATTCTGTTTCTTTGTTACTAATGTTGTGGCCCCACCCCATCACAAAGAAACAGAATTTCTGGAGGATGAGGCCCAGAAATCAGGATTTTAAAAAGATTCCCAGGTGATTCTAGTGGGCAGCCAAGGTTGAGAACCACTGCTCTAGATAATTCCATGTTGTAGCAAATGTCAAGATTTCATTCTTCTTATTGCTGCATAATATTCCATTGTGTAAATCACATTAATCTATTGATGGATACCTAGGTTGTTTTTATATCTTGGCTATTGTAAATAATGCTGCAATGAGAATAGGGGTGCATATATCTTTTCAAATTAGTGTTCTGGTTTTCTTTGGATAAATCTGAGAAGAGGAATTGCTGGGTCATATGATATATCTGTTTTTAATTTTCTTGAGGAAACTCCGTACTGTTTTCTATAGGGGCTGCACCACTTTGCAGTCCCACCAACAGCACACAAGGGTTCCCTTTCCTCCACAACCTTGCCAACACATGTCATTTGTTGACGTTTTGATAATGGCCATTCTGACTGCTATGAGGTAGTATTATCATTGTGGTTTTTGTTTTCATTTCCCTGATGATTAGTGATGTTGAGCATCTTTGCATGTCGGACATTTGTATATCTTCTCTGGGGAAATAACTTTTCATGTCTCTGCCCATTTTTTTTAATCAGATTGTTTATTTTTGTTATTTAGTTATATGAGATTCTTATATATTTTGGTATAAACCCCTTATAGGATATATCCTACATTGGGGAAACGACTGATGCATGCCCCCCCCCCCAAATGAAACTGGACTACTCTTTTACACCATATACAAAGATAAACTCAAAATGAGTTAGAGACTTAAATGTAAGGTCTGCAGTCCAAAAAACTCCTAGAAGAAAATATAGGAAGTAAACTATATGACATCAGTCTGAGTAATATTTTTTTGGACATGTCCCTTTGAGAAAAGAAAACTAAAAGCTCCACATAGCAAAGGACACCTTCAACAAAACAAAAAAGCATGGATGGAACTGGAGAGCATTATGCTAAGCGAAATAAGCCAGTCAGAGAAAGATAAATATCACATGATCTCAGTCATTTGTGGATGATAATGAACAACATAAACTGATGAACAAAAACAGATCCAGAGACAGAGAAGCATCGATCAGACCATCAAACCTCAGAGGGAAGGCAGGGGAGGGTGGGAGTAAGGGGGAGAGATCAACCAAAGGACTTGTATGCATGCTTATAAGCATAACCAGTGGACACAGACACCAGGGGCGTGAGTGCATAAATGGGGGGGGGCAATGGGGGAATAAGGACACATATGTAATACCTTAATCAATAAAGAAAAAAAAGCAGCCTACTGAATGAGAGAATGTATTTGCAAATGATATATCTGATAAGGGATTGATATCCAACATTCTTGACTTGAGTGGTGGTTACAGAAATCTATTCTGAGTTTTTCATTAATTCATAAATTTCCCATATGTGTGCTATACTTCAGAATTTTAAAAGGGAAGATGAGAGTTTGGAGATGGATGGTTGTGACGGCTACACAACAATGTGAATGTACTTAATGCCACTGAGCTGTACACTTAGAAATGGTTAAAATTGTAAAATTTATGTTATGTATATTCTACAACAATTAAAATAAAATTGTGAAATATAAAAAGATAAAAGTTAAATATATGTAATACTTTCAACAAAAAAAGAATAATTTAAAAAGTTAAAAATGGAAAAATAGGTGAACAGGAAAATTACAGAAAACCCTCAAAGCTCAAATGTATGAAAAGATGCTCATAATCACTAGTAAACAGAGAAATGTATTAAAACAGTAATACATCACTTTATACCTTTTAGACTGGCAAAATGTTTCATTGTATCAATTGGCAAAGATGTGCATAGGTCTCATTCACTGATGTTGGGAGTATAGTCTGATCAGGCCATTGTAACAGGTATGTTGTGTGTGTGTCCTATGACCCAACAACCCCACTCCTCATGATACATTAAAAGTAATTTCCTATACAGATCCCAAAAGAGATGTGTATTAGAATGTCTTAGTGCAATATTATTCATCATGGCAAGAAATTGGTTTCCATTTGGGGTCCATCCCTGGAAATGTGGTAGTTGCACTCCATGGAATACCATAAAAATTAGAAGCAGAAAACTAGACATCAACATAGACTGGCCTTAAAAACATACTACATAATTTTAAAGAAGGAGACAGAATTGAGTTACAATACCAATTACATAAATTAAAAATACCCGAATGCCAAAACAAGATGTATTTCTCAAGAACATATAAAAGTTAAATGATATATATTAAATAGGTAATTTTGTGTGAAAAACGAGGAAAAATGGGAGTACAGGGTGGTGTCAGTTGCTCAAAACTCAGAGGGAAAGCAGGGGAGGGTGTGGGTGAGGGGGAAAGATCAACCAAAGGACTTGTATGCATGCCTATAAGCATAAGTGATGGATGTGGACAACAGGGGGTGAGGGTGAGGGTGGACAACCGGGGGTGAGGGTGAGGGCAGGATTGAGGGGATGAGGGGACATTGGTGGGATAAGGACACATTTGTAATATCTTATTCAATAAAGGGAAAAAAAGAAAAAATACAAATAGCCAAGACAGGACACCAATTTAACCAAATGATCAAAGTTAACTTCACCTGTAGCAGGACATACCAACATAGAGCGCTTTCTGATATGGTGCACTAATATGTATCACTTGGGTACTGTTTTACCAGTCATGTGTAACCTAAATTTAAGTAAAACAAACCATTAGAATACCCAAATTGAGGGATATTCTACAAAATAACTGGCTTGTACTCTTCAAAAGTGACAAGGTCAAGAAAAACAAAGGGAGGCTGAGGAACTGTTCTGGGTTAAAAGAGACTAGAGACATGGGATTTTTGAGCCAGAAACAGGACAACAGTGAGACAAGTAGTGAAATCTGAGTAAGGTGTCTAATATCATATCAATGCTAATTTCCTAATTTTTATAGCGATGTTTCTTAAAATAACACCTGGGGAATTGACAGAATATGTGAGAACTCTATATTAATTTTGGCATATAATTCACACACCATAATATACACCATTTTAAAGGGCACAATTTAGTGGTCTTTAGTATATTCACAAAGTTGTGCAACTCCCACCAGAATATTAATTCTAGAAATTTTTCATCAAGAGAAGCCCTACACCCATTGGCAGTCACTTCCCACTCCCTCCTTCCCATAGCTCATGGCATCCCCATTCAACTACTGTGTCTCTAGACTTGCCTGTTCTGGACATTTCATACAAATGGAATTCTACAATATGTGTTGTGTTTGGCTTCTTTAACTTCGTGTAATGCTTTCAAGATTCATCCAAGTTATAGCATGTATTGGTACTTCATTCCTTTATATAGCTGAATATTCCATTGTATGATATACCACCTTTTCTTTATTCATTCATCGGTTGATGGGCTATTATGAATAGGAATAGTGCTGCTGTGAACATGAGTGTATATGTATTTGTTTAAGTACCTGTTTTCAATTCTTTTGGGTGTATACCTAGGAGTGAAAATGCTCAGTCATATGAGAACTCCAACGTTTTGAGGAACTGCCAAACTTTTTCAAAACATCTGCACCATTTTAAACTTCCATCAGCAGTGCCTTATGGTGACTTTTTCAAAGCCTGAAATTGTTTCAAAATGGGAACTTTACTGGTTCGTCGAACTTGAAAGGGAAATATAAAGCTTACCATGTGACTAGGAGTAAAAACCTGACCGTGTAATTAGGGAGTTCTTCACACCAGGCCCTATTTTCAACACCGTGTTTTTTAATGACAAAGGGACTCAAAGAACATTACAAATGTGGGAGTGGAGATGGGAGGGGGGAAAGTGTCCTTTTGATAATTATGATTTATGAAACATAACCATGTTGCACAAAGACCTGTATCATTCTTCAAAGGCTGTCAAATATATCAAGTGGAATGACTTTCTCTTCCCAACACACACACACACAGAGAAGCACAATCTTTTAAAAGCTCCAAGACATTAACTTTATTTTTACTGAATTCAGCATGGGGTGACAAAAATGCATTACATCATTATAATTGACTATTACATCCAGACATTTTAATTTTTCTTAAATGTATTGGGATGACATTCATTAATAACATTATATAGGTTTCAAGTATACATTTCTGTGATACATCATCTGTATATTGCATTGTGTGCCCAGCACCCAAAGTCAAATCTCCTTCCATAACCAGAGTCAACCCTCTCTACCTTTCACTATTCCTCCACCTCCCTTTCCCTCTGGTAAGCCCCATACTGTTGTCTGTGTCTATGAGTTTTGTTTGTCTTGTTTGTACATACAGGCATTTATCCTTGCATTCCTTATATTCGTTTTCTACCTTAAATGTTATTTCATATTAATTAAAATACATATAATTTCTTACTAAAAATCCCTAGTTCATATAACCAAGGGTTTATAACTTCTCCTTAAAGTTACGTTCCTTTATGATGGAGAATTTAATAGTTTAAATTGTTAGTTTTTTTTAATATTTAGAGGATTAAATATATTTACCAGCAGCGGAAAAACAAAGTACAATGTAAAAATGATTTTCTAAAAGATATTTTCATTCTCTTCTTTCCTTCTGCAAACTGATGTTTTATCTTTACAAGTTATCTGTCATTCCATAGGAAAATTGCTTGTCTTCCGGTTTCATAAGAGATGGTGAACAGCAGTTAAAAAAATCCAGTTTACTTAAATTCCAAAGTTCACTTCAGGGAAAAATGACAGGGTGGAATGTTGGGGCAGAGTGAGAGAGATAGATTCTGGTGAAACTGAGAATCATTCACAAAAGTTACAGGGCTGTGCTATGACTTCTGATAGCAATTATGAATAGAAACAATGGTCAATGATTAGAGTTGAGGCAGAGAGAAGGAAGGATAGCATTACATCTTGTCTCTGGCTCATTCGGTTTCCTAGGCTGGTGGGTAAGACCATCTTGGATAAAATAAGGTCATTCTTTGCTATGGTGATCAGCGTTCATGGCGTCCTTTCTCTGCACTCTGTTCAATGATAAAGCCCACTGGTTTATGCTTCCTGGAAAACAGTTATTCCAAAACAGCACAGGTGAAGAAGCACTGGTGAGACAGGCATGAAGAACATGTTTCCAGGTAGCCTGAAACCCAGCAGACAATGTAGCTGTTGCTTAACAAACACAGAAATCTACATTGTATGCCAGGTTCAAGCCCCAGACCTGGATGTTGGGCCTGCAAGTCCTCACACAGTTGCCTGCTGTTTCTGATACTTGTTCTCTCTACCACAGGGAAAAGACAACCGCAAGTCAGAATGCACTGCTAGGACTTACATACTGCCAGTGAAATTTCCTTATATTGTCATAACATCCAGTTGTCATTATTTAATCATCACATTATTATGAGAATGCCATTTAAAGGTCCAGAGATAAAAAAGATGGATGGGTGGATAAGACAGACAAGTAAATAGGTAGGTAGTTTTGTGATCAAATGATTGAGAGGGAGAGAGGAAGGGAGAAACGAGGGGATGGGGAGAGAGAGAGAGAGAGAGAGAGAGAGAGAGAGATCGACCATCCACAGGGGGAAGAGAGAAAATCAATCCATGGATAAAATATCTAGATCTCTCCCACTTCTGGTGTTGAAATCAAACACATGACATCATTTATAAAACCTTAATGGTCCACACATTCTGGCTAATAATGGAAGACTTACCACCCCATAACTTAGTTCTGTGTGTATAAATCAAGGTAAAGTTTTCCAATAACTTTGGCTCAGGATAGTATAATAGAAGCTCAAAGATGCCATCAGAGACCCAGTAGCCAGATGTAGCTACTGATTATAAAAGACAGGATCTACACTGACTACTGAGCCACTGAGGGCACCTACAAGTACCAGCAGTTAGATGATCAGCAGAACTTCTGGGCAGGAGCTCTGTGGAAGGAAAGAGAACATATCAATCTTGGAAACTTATCTGAAAAATGTATCAAGAAATTCAATTGCATATTTTATTTATTAACATTCTAACAATAATCTTATGTATACAGTTTAAAACAACCTCTAGATTTATTTACTTATGCAACATGTATTGATAGTTTTATTGAGTGAAGTGCCAGATACTCTCTCAGGTGCTAGAGATCCAGCAACAAATAAAAAAGATTAATATCCCTGCCCTTCTAGCATTCATTATTATTTGTGAGAAAATTCAAAAATAATTACTTGGAATGTTTTGCAGTAAAATATCTTATATGTGAAAAACAAACAAGAAAAAAATCCCACAAGAACAACAACAACAAAAAACACACAACCAAACCACCAATCTACCATTTTATTGTGGCCTGGGAGCATCTTTGTTTGCTTTATGTCAGTTTAACTTGGGTAATCTAGCAATGATACACATATGTAAAATAAATTGCGGTAAAATATTGTTTTCTGCTATAAGTTGAGACTGATACACTTATTTCTACCAAATGTCTAAAATAACAACAACAAAAAACTGAAAAAAGGTGTTTACAAAGTAATCAAAGCAGCAAATTATTCAAATGTCAGTTCTAAATTTTCCTCCCATAATACAATGTAGGTTAAAAAAATTGAAAGATATTTGTCCACTCCTTGATTTATTCATTTATTCACTCAGCCGCCCCAAAAATGCCTATACCAAGTGACTTCTCTATACGTTATGCCAGTCACTGGGCATGAAATCCCTCCACTCATGGAACTAAGAGTCTTAAGATTTAAGGTGCGGTTAGGGAAAGACAGAAAAAAAATTATTTTTTTAAAATTTAAATTCTTTATTATTTAATACTAGAAAAGCGGGGGTGGGGGAAGTCTGGGAGGGAGGGAAGGAGACATGTACTACTATTTGTAATACCTTAAACAATAAAAAAATAAAAAAGAAGGCATTCTTATATTAGCATATGATCACTGTGGCCCATTATTGTTTGACTTTTAAAATTATTCTAGATAGTAAATGACTATGCAACTTTGCCCCAAGTACACATGTTTTAGAATCCCACTTTTTTATGAATTTTAAATGCTTTGGCTGTCACTTAGAAAAGGTTAGGAAAGTTATCCTCAATTGAAAGAAAGACCATACTTAGAACTTAAAGTTAGTATAATTTGGTATGCAGCTGGACTTCTGAATGAGAGCTCTCAATTTACAGATTTCAAGTGAATGCTTTAATTATTTAATCACAGATGTCTAATTTTAAGAAGGGACCCACTTGCCAAGTTGTAGTAATACTGATTCACCAGGCAGTTCGCTCTTAGGGGAAGAGAATGGGGGAATTCACAAGGTGAAGTAGGTTTTTGTTTGACTGCTAATTCTTTTTCGTTTTTAAATAAATTGAAAGCAACTCCATCTATGAAGTATATACTGGCATTGCCTAAAACCCAGGGCATATACACCAAAGGGATAACAAAACAGTAACACCTTGTTTATACATGTTTAACTGAATCTTATCCTCAATGTAGAAATCAAACACTTATAGAAAACAAATTTACGTTTCATAAACCACTAGTGTTAAATGCTCATAACTCTTACAAGTTAGACTCACAATTAAAATGAAGCAAAGATTTAGTTTGGTTAGTTTTAATGCCAAAATCCAAATCATTATCTTTTGTAAATTTGGGTTCATATTTATATTAGAAGAATGATATTTTTAATGCGCAAAGCTTGCCCTATCCATAAATCTTACTAAATCTGAAGAACTATAAAGTTAAGATGGTTATTCCTCCCACTTTTAAATTTTCTACGTAATACAAAAAGGAAAAAGTATAAATAAAATTTTATTTAAGGCTACTTACTCTACAGATCAGTGTCAACTAGCTAATAATACATATCTTAATGTTTATTAAAATATAAACAATAGAATATATAAGGAATATACTATAGCATAGAATACTAACCAATAATACGTTTTCAAAGATTATGAATAAAAGCCAAAGAAATAGGGTCTAAGTAAAAATGTCACATTATATAATTCCATTATCTAACAAGAATACAACTAAGCCACAGGGATGGGTGATAAAACTGTAGCCAAGGTACTCATAACTCAAGTTCTATTCACAGTGTAAACAGTCAAAAGAAAAATAATAAAAAACCCCCATCCGTTCTGGTTTAAGACCATTTATTTGAGGTACACATAATGGGAAAGACAGTTTAAAGGGAGGAAAACATTGATTAAAAGTTAAGCCTGCCACCTGCTGTTGGAAAACTACTTGGAACCAGAATAAAGACCATTTCTTAAAATGTTATGAAGAAGTTGAAGAGTTTACCATCCAGAATTAGAACAGGGGTGCCCTATAAACCAAACCAAGAAGTAAAGAAACCCATTGATGTTTAAACCTAAGGTGACAGATATAAAATATTCTCAAACTTTCACTAAAAAGAAAAGAAATGCTGCATCATGGGGCATTCAATGAAAGGAAGAGTAGACTTGCCCTGTCTTTTGAACAGATTATCTAATTCTATTTTGCCCCCTATAAGTATATAAAACTTTAGAAAACATAGTTTTTTAGAAGAAATGTTGACCCCATCACTATATGTGGAAGTAAATAAAGAGGAATGAGCAATCTGATAGCATTGTTAGAATGTTAATTTTTCTAGGTCAGAATTGTAAAGTTTAAGTCTAGATGTCCCCTGCAACCCCTATCCATGATATTTCATAGTTGAGTGCATGTACCAGGAGCCTTATATAACTAAATACAAACATGGTCAGCTTCTCAAACATATTTATGACTTGACAGAACACATACAGCACTATGCTCTTCTAACAAAGTCAGTGTTTACTTTAGAAATGAACTAAAACTGCCTCTCATGAGGTAATCTCATGTTAAGTGTTCTTTTATACACACACACACACACACACACACACACACACACACGGACACTGAAAGGTGTTGGATATGTCTATTACCTTGATTGTGGTGACAGTGTCATGGGTGTTTGCCTATATTCAAATTAATCAAATTGTGCACAGTGTGTACAGTTCTTTGTGTATCAGTTTTACCTCAGTAAAGTTGTTTACAAAAAACAAACTGTCTCCCATGTGGTTAAGAACAAAAGTTCAATGAACTCTATAGCTGGGAAAGAAATGCACACATATACACACACTGTGTCACAGGGTGAAATTATGCCAGAGGACAAACCAATCTTTCAGATACAGGTGTCTAATTAAAGTATGTTCTCAGGGACTTTAATTCCTATTGTGTTACGTCAGAGTATTCGAGCCAGGGTCTCTCCATAACTAGCACATGGTTGCAATCCATCCAACTGTTGCATACCTGAGATCCTGTGACTACACTGACCCAAAACATTTACACCAGCTGATGGTCACTTGATTCTCACATCACTCTGTTTAGTAAATTGCTCCGCAAGTCAACTTGAAGATTTGAGGTGAACATTTCTGAGATGTTCCTGCTCAAGAGTTTTTTTTATAAAAAGACATTCCTTGCCAAATAATTCTAGTCTGAACAGGCCTGGGAAGGGATGGGGTTGGCATAAGATACTAAAACAAGCTTCTAAAGGTGAAACCACTCACAGCCCATAAAGACGGACTCAGACTAGTTTTTAAAAATAGTATTTAGCAATCCTTCTCAATAAAAACCAAAATTTTTTAAAACAGGCATTGGATAAAAAAATGAATAATTTTACTCATTAAAAACACGCCAAGAAAAAGGATAGTTTTTACCAAAGTAACAACCTTTTTATGGACAAGTTCCAGAAATTAATTGCACTAAATTCACTTGCAAATATCTCTCTGAAAGAAACCCCTAAGGCATTTTCTTCATACGATGTCTGCAGTGTGCAATACTGGTGAGGAATTCCTATAATTGAAAAAAAGTAAAATAATTTGCATTCTATCAATGATAAGTAAAAAAAAAATCAAAATAAGGTGACTGTTTTCTGAACCTTTAAGTAATAGAAAAACTAGTTGGTTCCCCCAAGAATTCCTGACTTAAACTTTTATTTAAATCACAATCCATTACTATTCTTTACTATTACTGGAGTTTTTTCAAATTTGTTCTCATTTCCAAGCCTTGGGCTATGTTCTAAAGGCATCAACATTACATACACATGATATTGAGAGTTTCATTTATAATCAAATCTCCACCAAGACTGCATTTGCCACTGTACAGAATCCTCAACATTCAATGTTCTCATGGTACAAAATTCATTTGGTCTCCCCCTTGGCTCTTGCCATCAAGTTTCACTCAGCTCAGATAGACTGAAGGAGGGGCAACTATTTGGCCTCTGCACACTGCTCACCCCAGCCTTCTTCTTCCTCTGCTGGGCTCAGCTCAAAGAGCCTTTCCTAGAATTCTAAGGGACCTTCCTGGAGTCCTCCAGAAAGTTAGTTGCAGGCTACTAGTTAGTTGGCCAGCTCCCTGATTACTCAATTTGTGTGTGTCAGCCAGAAACACAAACCAAACTGCTCTTTATTTATTTATTTATTTAGAAATGTGTCTCCCTATGAGAAGGTGAGCTCCTTGAGGGTAAGAACTGAGTCTTGGTCTTTTGAGATTCTCCAGGTATTGATATTAGATCATACTAATGCACTAGATCCGTGGTCGGCAAACTCATTAGTCAACAGAGCCAAATATCAACAGTACAACGATTGAAATTTCTTTTGAGAGCCAAATTTTTTAAACTTAAACTATATAGGTAGGTATATTGTTATTAACTTAATTAGGGTACTCCTAAGGCTTAGTAAGAGCCACACTCAAGGGGCCAAAGAGCCGCATGTGGCTCACGAGCTGCAGTTTGCCGACCACGGCACTAGATCATAGGAATCTTTTAGTAAACATTTGTCAAATAAAAGAAATCTGAGTGAAGTACTGATAAAAACACTTAAAAAAAAACCCCAAATAACCAAAAACAGTGGGAGAGTATCTCCACTTCAGGAAAATTCTTGTATTTCTCTATCCTTTAA